TAATGTATTGCTGGTCATAGTTTTTTCTTTAAAAAAATTATTGCTGATAATAAGTTTTTTAATAGTTTTAATGTTTTTTTTTTTCAAAAACATATTGCTGGTGATAGTTTTTATCTTCAAAAATTTATTTCTGGTAATAATTTTTTACAAAGTATTTCTGGTATTAAAACCTATTTTTACACTTTTATAATGCTTTTTACCTCAATTTCGGGGTTAACTATTTGCCCATGGCTTGGAACCTAACAGGTGCTACAACTCCGGGTTAATTAAAAACCTCCTGATCAGAGGCCTTGCTGTTGGGCGTAGTTTATCGTCTTACCCAGGATGCGGACGTAGTTTATCGTCTTACCCAGGACGCGGATGTAGTTTATCGTCATACCCAGGACGCGGACGTAGTTTATCGTCTAACCCAGGATGCGGATGTAGTTTATCGTCATACCCAGGACGCGGATGTAGTTTATCGTCATACCCAGGACGCTTCTATCCTTGGGTGGAACTCAGTTTAGGACAACACTGAATTCAAAACCGTTGACAAGGCCAGTGGAAACAATTCTTTCTAAATACATTATTACAATTCGCATATAATAAAGAAAACAATCTGTGGAGAGCCGTGTTTACGTAGACCCTAAAGAAACATGGCTATAAAACAAATATTGAGAGAGCGTTTGTACAGAGACCATGGGCCTACTGAAACAAGTGAAGGATTTCCAATTAACTATAGAGCTACAGCAAACGTTATACAGGTTGTCCCCTCAAAAATTGACATAATTTAAAATGTGAATATCTAAATAACTCCATGTCCCAGGCAAACGAACTTAAATAGGCTTCATGTTGAACAATAACAGATTTATTTATCAAAATTCGGACAAGATATTCAGATGGATGTAGATTTTAGAATCGATTTCACAAATGTTCAATATGCGCATCACCCGTGACACGACACACATCAAGTCGGTAGTCCAGCGCCTGCCAAACACGCTGTAGCATGTCTTGCGTAACATTCTACAACGCCTCAGTGATTCTCTGTTTCACATTCTCCAGCACCTCATTAATATTCACATTTTAAATGATGTCACTTTTTGCACACCCTTCGCAGATGCGAATTGAGTCACTGTCGGTCACTGGGCGTGTTTCTAAAAATAAATACGCTAAAAATCCACTTTCATCCCTAACATGCGCCGACGGCTTAATGGTTAGAATTTCGACTAACACCAATTCAGTCTGGTTTCGATCCTAGCTAATGGCAACCGGATGTCTAGCCACACTGATGTCTGTGGATGACGTTATATATATATATAAATATAAAAGTGAACATAAAGTCAACACTAGGCGATCGTCTGTTTATATGCTATATGACAATCGTCAGTATATAGCATGAAACAGACTGTCGCCTGACGTGTTGACTTTATGTTCACTTTTATATTTACACACGCTCTATCTCTGATATTGAGCACTTTATCCCATAAATATAGCACACCTTAAGACTATATTTCTTTTATATATATATATATATACATATGTGTGTGTGTGTGTACTCTCCAGTCGGCATAAAGATAATCAAGTGCGGAGATATACATTCTTTGTAGGGGAGGCAAAAATAAGTTGGTACGCTCAGGGCTTTTTTAAAAACACAAGTGCAAGCGTTTGGATGAAGTATAAAGAACATTAAGACACATTGTTCGTAAAAAGGTGGTAAATAACCCCCCCTAAAAAAAAAAAAAAAAAAAACAACAACGAACATACAGTACCTGACCGGAGAGTAAAAGATTCGGCCGAACTGATTCAAACACTTCACAACAGATAAAGTCCCTTATGGGGAAGTGGTTTGACCAAAATTTGCAATATATTTCTTCTTCATTTGAAATTAATTTCAAAAGTAAATGTTTATTATATATATATATATATATATATATATAGATAACTGACTTAATTGCCAGTAAGACTTGCATTAATTCCTGGCCACTGACAATTCCTTTTTACTCATTTGCAATGTATCTCTATAGTACATGTTTATTTTTTATACATAGTTTGTGACGAGTGGTTGATATTTTTTAACAGCATATGTCTTATTTAATACCGAAATTAAAATATTTTGAACATAATATTATGGCTTCAACTGAATATATTTTGAACGCAATTTATGCCTTCAACAAGAATAAAACCCATTGCTGGCCAGTTTGTTTTAAAATGTTAGTGTTGGTACTTTTACTATAAATATGCATTGCTGATAATTTCACTATAAATATGTATTATTGGTAATTTTATATACAAAAATGTACTGCTGGTGTTTTTATACCTTCATAGGGTTTTGCTTTTGTTTCGGGGTTCACTATTTGCCCATAGCTGGGACACAAGCATGTGCTAACACCCCGAGTCAGGGTGGAACTAGGAACAACAGCAATTAAGAGGTGGTTCGACGCTCCTCAAAATCTCCAATCTCCCGATCAGAAGCCTTGCTGCCGGATGTGGTTTATTGTCATACCCAGGACAAAGAAGGTGACGGGAAATTACGCAACTATTTTTTCCTAGAAGTTATGGCAATTCATTGAGAATATTAAAAGGAATCTGTCTAGAACTCTTATCACCTACATTTCCTAGCGAATATGGTAATTAAAAAATATACTAATCAATGACTAATGAGAAGAAAGCAAACTGGTAGATGAATTTCCTTTTCACTGTGTCGCTACAGAAAATAATATATCTAATTCACTGAAACTGAACCAAAACACTTCAGGTCATTCTTAGTAGATGAGAATCATTACAGAAAATGTAAAGTGAGTCTTCTTGATAAGTATGTAGTGGTATGTCCAATATAATTATTCATGAATTTGGTTTGATCAGTAACGCTATTCCTTAAAGGTAGATACCTCCACTAGCTCGGAGAAAAAACAGCCTGGCATGATAAAAAAGGCTCGAGACTTAATAAAAAAAACAAAGTTTCATCGTCAAAATGTTTATGTTATTATTAAGACAAAAGATCAAAGTATTTTTTTTATTAGTTTATTAATTTTTTTTAATCCTTTCTTGCACGTTCGAAATTTTGGTTAAAAAAATTATTTTTGTCGAATTAATATTAAGGTTTAGTATATTTGCGTTTTTTTTTCAGGTGTAAAACACAATGGTTTGGAAATCAGTTATCTTCTGTTAATTCCCCTCTGAAAGTTCTCCACCGACTCTTTGGGTCCTGTCACTGGATTTAACTAACACCCTTTATCCATTGTGCCATGTGTCCTTGAGGACATCTGTGTATGAATTTCTGGGTATTATAAACCTAATGTCTTCAGCAACCATTTTTTTTACCAGTGCTCATATTGCAATCTTTTGCTGTTATCATTGCATATTTTTTACCAGAGTTCATATTGCAATTTTTGTTGTTATTATCACTTTTTCTCTGGCACTCCTTATTAATGGTTACCATATTGTATTCATTTCTATGCTAGGTCGGCTCAGGAGATTTTTTGTGGCCTACCATATGTGCTGATTCCTTAAGTTTACGAATTTTCCAATGGTGTTCTTTGTCTATGGTCTCAACCTAATTCCACAGAGGGCGGTGATCTCCCTTCTCTCTCCATATATGGTCAGCCATGCCTGATGTAAAACACAATGGTTTGGAAATTCTTCCAAAAATCAAATAATTTTCGGATTTTGGTATCTGTTTATATTTCTGAGATGAGGTATTATGTACATTATTTACATTATTCGGGCTATTGTCCTCATCTTTGTCGCCATATTTATTACAGCGTTTCGGCTGTTGTACGCTTCGGCCTTCTTCAGATCAGAATTTCGAACTGAACCTTTTATTTCGCTCACTGGGGTAGACTGTTCTAGTTCTACGTGCTATGTTCAATGGATGTCAGTTATCAGTTATCTCCTGTTAATTTCTTTAGCCAGGTATTGAACTCACACTCTTTGGGTCCTGTCATGGGATCTAACTAACACCCTTTATTCACTGTGCCATGTATCCTTGAGGGCATCTGTGTATGAATTTCTGGGTATTATAAACCTAATGTCTTCAGGAACCATTTTTTTACCAGTGCTCACATTGCAATTTTTCCTGTTATCATTGCATGTTTTTTACCAGAGCTTATATTATAGTTTTTGTTGTTATTTTCGCTTTTCTCTGGCACTCCTTATTATTGGTTCCCATATTGTATTCATTTCTATGCTTGGTTGGCTCAGGAGATTTTTGTGGCCTACCATATGTGCTGATTCTTTAAGTTTACGAATTTTCCATTGGTGTTCTTTGTCTATGATCTCAACCTGATCCCACAGAGGGCAGTGATCTCCCTTCTCTCTCCATTTATGGTCAGCCACGCCTGATTTTTCCACTTCCCCTAGTGTTACAGCTTTCTGGTGTTCTTGAAGCCTTACCTTAAGGGGGCGGCCTGTCTCCCCTTTATATTTCTTTCCGCAACTGCACGGGATAGCGTACACACAGTCTTTAGTCATGTTCTCCTCTATGGGGGGGGTCTTACTCGGGAGAAATATCTGCGAAGTGTCGTCAAGCTTTTGAAGGTTGTCCTGATGTTATATGGACCGCAGATCCTTTGTATTTTCTCTGATAACCCCTTCACATAAGGCAGGCAAACTTGTTGTTGTCCTCCTCTTGTATCCGCCTATCCCGATTTTTTGGGGCTGCTGCCATGTACCCAGGGTAGGTGTTATGTTGTAGGGTACTACTTATACTGACTATACTATTAGCAACCTCAGCATATATTTTTTGATAATCTTTTTGTTAGTTAGAAGGGCCAACAGTTATATTTCTCACATATCCTCAAAAACAGAGTTAGAGATTCATCTCCAGCTGTACTGGTTAAATCTATGCCTCCGGGCAGAGAGGATGCCCAGACGAGGCAGAGTCTCGTCTTGGGAAACATCTACCCGGTCTATGGGGAATTTTTGGCCGAGCCTACGGTCTTGTATACTCCACATTAAATTTGGCCTTATGCCAGATCTGACCGCGTGGAGCGGTTGGTAGATATCCATCTCCTCAAAAACATCCCTTCGATCACCGAAGTTAAGTAACGTCGAGCCCGGTCATTACCGAGATGGGTGACCGCTTGGGAATACCAGGTGGTGCAAGCTTGGATGAGCGGGTGGTGTAATGGATAATGGCTGGGAATTGTTAATCGCAGAATTGAGTTCCAATTCCAGTTGGGTTCGTTATAGTCAGTTACGCACAAATATCAATGGAAAAAAAGTATGAATCGATCTCTTTTCCTCCCCAGCTATGGGTAAATTAGTAATCTTTTATCACTGACTCATGATTAACTAGAAAGAATCATTATTATCTAAAAGAAATTCCCAATATAAAATTATTTTCTAGCTTTAAATAACCTGAAAATGGTTGATAAATAGCAAAAATGAAGGGATCAATCGATCAACCTTACTCTTACTGTTCACACAAAAACCTCCATAAATAACCCTCTACATTGAGTGGTTCTTGAGCTTTGTACTGGATGACTATAAAGGTAATTACTGCGAGCACCATTGTGGTGAGTCTGTGGCCCGATACAGCAAATGGAATAAGAAGAACTATTCGATTTTCTTGTTTTATTCTCCGCGCACCTTTAAATCCACTTTTTAAAATCATTTCATCCCAAGCAAGGAAATAAAGTCACTAGGATGCAACAGGTTACCGAATGTTAGAGAGTATAAGAAAAAACTACTATTAAGGAAAGAGGACAATAAAAGAACAGGAATTAAAAAGACAGAAGATAACGATTAACATTGCATTTAAATTTTTGAAGATCAAAGTTGACTGGAAAGAAAGAAGCCAGAAGAGAGTTCCACAAGCGAGAAGTGCGATAGAAGGAACAATTAGCATAGAACTTACGGTTGCATCTAGTCATTTCCTCTTTAAACCGATGAGACCTTGCCGCTAATCTTGTACTGTACTTAAATTCATAAAGGCTTGGTACCATAGAGGAAACTTCCCTAGAAGAATTACCATGAGTGTATTTATAGAAAAGGCGAAGAGTAGCTACGTTAAAATGGTGGGGAAGAGACTGAAGGCCGAGATTCCAGGTCAGGATCAATAAAATTGCAGATGCTCTTTGGGTTTTATCAAGAATATCTAAATGTATAGCAGCAGCACCAAAACAGATGTGGCAGCAATATTCAAAGCAAGGACGAATGGGTTTCTTAAATGTAAACATCAAGTGTTTGAATGTGAAGGTAGAAAATGACCTAACATTTCTTTAATCATTTCACTCCAAGCAAAGCAATAATGCCACTAAGACGCAATGGGTTGCTGGGAGTGAAAGAGGGTGAGAACAATTTAGTGAGGTGTTAAATGAAGAAAGGACAATAAAAGAGCAGGTTTCAGGAAGACAGAAGATGGCGATTGACGTGGCTTTTAAATTTTTTTGAAGGTCACATCGGAGTAAGAAACCAGAAGTAAGGTTCACAGGCGAGAAAAGAAACTATTAGAATAGAACATGCGGTTGCACCTCGCTATTTCAACCATAAAACGATGAAAACTAGTTGTCAATCTTGTAGTACGCTTAAACTTATGCGGCCGTATACGATTTAAAAAAAAAATTCAGGAGAAAACTGAAAACGTAGAATAATGAATTCATTACAATATACAACTTAATACAAGCTAACGAAAACATTCGTTATCCTATTGAAAAAAAATGTCTATCTTTTAGATTTACAGATCTCTTGTGGAACTATCTACACCTATCTTCATTACAAGATCATTTTCTATTGACAAAAATAGCCAAAGAACTTATTCAGTCTTGAGTATTGGACGACCGCAAGTTTTTATAAGCTTTAGCTTTGGAAGATTCCAGGCGCATGACAAGGCCTCATGATGGAGCCTTCTGTCTGTATGGCACCCCGGGCGACTGCCCGAGTTGCCAGTAGTTTGAGCCGGACCTGGCGATGTCTGGGAAATTTTTGATTCTTGATCGGGTCTACACGCTCGGGTGTCCACATTAAACCCGATCTAGTGTCACATCACGTCGAAATACCTGACTGTCCTTGACTTTGCTGATGATCTTACATTAATTTCTCAATGTATCCAGAACCCAGAATCCTTCCTGCAATCGCTTGAGCGAGCAGCGATCCAAGTAGGTCTCTAATGCAATGAGAGTAAGACAAAATACATCACCACCTCTACTGAACTATCCGAATTGAAATCACTCAATAATATATCCATCAAAATAGTTAATGACTTCAAATATCTTAGATCTCATATCGTAGATTCCTAAAAAGACTTCAACATCCACAATGGTCGCGGACATATATATGAAGTGACAGCATTAGGGTTGCTGGTACCCCGGGCAAGTTGACATTTGACATCCTTACAAGTAAAAGTTTTCTAAAATTTTCACAAGGAGATAAACTGTAAATCTAGAATAACAAGTTTAATACAATATACAATTTAATACAAGATGAAGAAAACATTCATTATCAAAGGTAAAAGATTTTTTGTAGCCTTTAGACCTTCAAATCTTTTTATGGCACTTTGTACATCTATTTTCTTTACAAAATCATTTTCTATTGACAAAATAAACAAAGTATTTAATCTGACTTCAATCATGGACAACTGTAAGTATGCTTTTATAAGCTTTATTTTTGGAAGATCCCAAACACATGACATAGCGGCATGATGGCGTCCTGAGCACCTGCCCAAGTTTTCAGTACCTTGTGCCAGCCCTGACACACACACACACACACACACACACACACACACACACACACACACACACACACATCTTGTTATCTGTGAGTGAGCTTAGCTTAGAACAGCAAATGGCTGTGAGCATGGAGAATTTTATAAGGATGAATATTATGACAGAAGTTATGTTCAGTTAATCTATTTTACAAACCATTACTGTTGTGGGATGTTTTATACACGCACAAAACACATATATAGATATACATCATATCCATTTCTCTGATAATTAGTCTTCTACTTTTGTAAATATAGGCAGTTTTAAACACACACCAGTGACGGCCCAAGGGTTGCTCACATCACAGGCAAGGTGAACTTTGACTCCTTTACAAGTAAAAGTTTTTAGAATTTTCACAAGGAGAAAAACTGCAAATGTAGAATATCAAGGTTAATACAATATACAATTTAATACAAGATGAAGAAAACATTGATTATCAAAGGTAAAAGATTTTTTGTAGCCTTTAGATCTTCAAATCTTTTTATGGCGCCTTGTACATCTATTTTCTTAACAAGGTCATTTTCTATTGACAAAATAAACAAAGTATTTAATCTGACTTCAATCATTGACAACTGCAAGTATGCTTTTTGTATGCTTTATTTTTGGAAGATCCCAAACACATGAGATGGCGGCATGATGGCGCCCTCTAACTAGATGGCGCCCCAGGCGACTGCCTGATTGTATGCATAGATTACTCCATTCGCAAGGTTTATATAGCTTCTGTATTTTTTCTTTGTTTAATCTTTCTTTTTTTCTAACACTATGATTTATTTTCATATCTTCTCGCCAAATTGTCCGGTCTCCTCCAGTTATTGTCATTTATCTTCGGTACAAACATTATTCATATGAATTACTACCACAGACGGATCAGCAGCTACACTCAGAGAAGTGAGTTCGCTCCCAGCAGGACCTAGTTCCGCTCCGGTAGCCCATAACCCACGAACACGTATTTGTTACCAGTTTTCCTGCATCAGTGACCACTTTTACCTCTACTACAGATTCAATCGACAAGTAGACTTGAATTTTTCGTAACAGAGATATCCCACGGTTTATTTTATTTTGTAAATTTAAGTTGATTTTTATTAAATTAATTTTCTCAACCAGAGGTTCGCGGTTATCAACGCTTGAAAATCAGTGACAGTTAATCTATTCAAATCTTGAGCACTTTTCTCAGTGTTTTCTCAAACGCCAGCAGTGTCATACTCCTGAGCCGGTATTTTCAAACCTGGATACGAGTATCCCATCGAGTGCATAAGAGAAATTCAGGGGCACGCGATTAAGCCTGTCGCGAACTTAGCCCCTCTTTGGTGATGAGATATTGGCAAGAAATACATCTTCGCGAACATCTAATCCTTTTTTCCCCTAATACAAAGAGATAATTTCCTTTCTGTTTCGCTCTAAACAGCAATTTTTTTAATCATATCACCCCCAGGTAAGGCAGTGTAGCCCCTAAGACACAAGGGGTTTATATTGGGTTTGGAAGAACAAGAAAAGAAGAAAAACATTAGGGAGCGAGAAAAATAGAAGGGTAGTCAAGATGACTCAATGGTGATTGACATGGCATTTAAATATTTGGAGATCAACGTTGACTAGAAAACATGAAACCGGAAAAGAGTTCCACAAAAGAGAAGTGCGAGAAATGAAACTGTTAGCATAGAACTTACTGTTACATCTAACCAATTCAACTGTGAATTGATGGGACCTTGCCACCACTCTAGTACTGCGCGTAAATTCATAAAGTCTTGGTACTGTAGAAAAGAGTTCACCCGAACTATCACACATTTATTTATAGAAAAGGCACAGGGAAGCTACTTCACAGCAGTGGTAAAGTGACTGAAGCCGAGATGCCAGATCAAGACCAATAATATTGCCGATTCTTCAATGGATTTTATCAAGAATCTCTAAATATATAGCAGGACCACCGGACCATATGTGACAGCAATATTCAAAGCATAAGCGAATGGTGGATTTATAAATATGCAAGATAGATTTTGGAGAGAAAAACTGTCTAGAACGACACAATGATCTGAATTTCTTAGCAGTAAACTTAACATTCGAAATAATTTTTCCATTTCATATCGGCTGAGAATGTTAGACCGGAAAGACACAACGAGTCACTCTCATGGGGGTTAGCGTCAACTATGCGGATGGGTGGTAGGAAGGTGTCCTTCATTTGATTAATAGAGAGAAGTTTCGTTTTGGAGGCGTTAAAATTAACAAGCCACTCCTTGCCCCAGTTAACAACAAACTGTAGGTCTATTTTTAGATCATCTGCCAATGTCGCCTTAACGATTTGATCAGACTTATTATCGGGACAGGAGTAAATGGTTGCGTCAAAATTACCCCAAAACCAAAACATCAATCTGAAAACTCGAGTCATGTTCTTAAAGAGTCCCGTCAG